ACACCTGCACCACCTTCTCCTGCAGCTCCACCAGCCCTGGAGAGGACTCAGACCCTTCAGCCGAGGTGTCACGTCCCAGGGCACCTTCATCGTTGCAGCCAAAGGTGTAGATCTGCAGATTGGGAGCAAGTGCTCAGGATGGAGCCCAGAGGGGCAACAGGCTGAGTATGAACTCAGTGGACAGAGACTCACGAGGCTGAATTATTACAGAATCATGGAATGGTTTGGGTTGGAAGGGACGTTAAAGCTCATTTCAGTCCACCCCCTGCCATGGGCAGGAACATTTTCTACTAGATTAGGTTGCTTTAAACCCTGTCCAACCTGGCCTGGAACACTTCCAGGGATGAGGCAGCCACAGCTTCTCTGTACTTGAGCCCCACCACCTTTGCAGGGAAAAACTTCCCAATATCGCATCTAAATGACAGTGTCACACATCTACTCCCTCTCAGTGTGAAGCCATACCCCATTCACCTATCACTCCATGCTCTTGTGCTAAGTCCCTCTCAATTCTCTCAGGCTCCTTTCAGGTCCTCCTTTTGACCCCCTAAAATTATGGTCCATGTGAGACCATGCTCACCCCTAGAGCTGGAACAAGATGTGGGCAGAGCAGTGGCTGATTCCTACCCCCTGCTCCCAAACACATCCCAGAACTCACTGCACTTACCTTTCCAGTCTGGCTGAGGCACACCGTGTGCATCCCTCCAGCTTCCACCTGCACCACCATCTCTGGTAGTGTGACCAGAGCTGGCTTCTTCCTCTCCATGATGTCCTCACCCAGACCCAGCTGGCCGACATTACCCTGGCCCAGTGTCAGCACCAGCCCAGGCTGCGAGCAATGTGATGGGTGGCTGACTGTGGGGTGCAAGGAGAAAGAATACATGGGAGTCTAAGTTTCCTGGCAAAAATCACCTCTGGCAAAGTAGAAGGAAAATTCCAAGGGATTTTTCTTACCTTTAACCTTTTTCCTCTCCGTAGACTCTCCTTCTGGTACCAGGATCTTCATTCTGCGTTTTGCTGGCATCTTGGAATCTAAATGCCAAAAAGAGCTAACGTTACCCTGGCCCAGTGTCAGCACCGGCCCAGGCTGTGAGCAGTGTGATGGGTGGCTGACTGTAAGGTGCAAGGAGAACGAATATGTGGAAGTTTGCTAGTAAAAATCACCCCTGGCAAAGTAGAAGGAAAATTCCAAGGGATTTTTCTTACCTTTAACCTTTTTCATCTCAGTAGACTCTTCTGACACCAGGATCTTCACACTGCGTCTTCCTGGCATCCTGGAATCTAAATGCCAAAAAGAGCCTGTAAGGAGCCACCCATCTGGTGAACCGGGCTGTTCACTCTTTGGGGTGTCCTCTCACACCCTAAAAAACCACCTGAGGGACTGGTGAGTGAGTTGAGATTTGAACACTGATCCCTTCTCCTGCTCTGGGAAAACAGAAAGTTTTCCCTTGTGTATTTTATCCATACTTCATGCAGAAGCGAACCAGATTTCAGGTCCAGGCAAGCGAGGAGAGACGGAAGGTAAAAGAAAGGAGAAAGGGGGAAAGGGGGAAAGGGAAAGGATCGGAGCCGTGTCTGCCTGCTCAGCCCCGTCCCCTTCCCGCCGTTCGAATTCCCCGCGGCGCCGCCTCACGTGGGGCTGCGCAGGCCCCGGCCAGCGCCGGCCGCGTCCCCCGCCGCCTGCGGCCGTTCCTGCCGGCCGCTCCGCTGCGCCGAGGCCGGCCAGGAGCCCGCCGGTCCCTCGGCGGCCGCGGCTTTGCCCCCATGCCGGTCCCGGCCCGGTCCCGCCCGCCGCGCTCCCGGCCCGGCCCCGCCGCGCTCCCTCACCGTCCGCCGGGCCGCCGCGCTCCGCTCTGCGCCTGCGCGCCCGCCCCGCGCCGCGCTGCGCCCCCTGGCGGCCCCGCAGCGGCGGCACGGGACGGGGACACGGGAGGATGGATCAGGACACGGGGACAGACAGGAGGACAGGACAGAAATACGGGCGAGACACGGGCATGGGATGAGGACAGCAGGATAGGACAAGGGGACAGAGAGACAGAGGGACAGGCAGCACGAGGCAGGGCTCGCGGTCGGCCATACGGACAATAAATCCGTAACTCATCCTGCTCCTAACCTACAGAGATGCCTCCAGCCTCCGAGGCCGCAGCCAGCCGTGATGGAACAGAGCTGCTGCAAAAAAAACAGTAATTAACGCGCAGAACAACGATAAGAGAGTATTGAAATCCAGCAAGTCTGAGCTACCATCTTTCCCAGCAATAAGTGGAAAATACACTTTTACTCTTGGAACAGGAACTAGACCAAACTTCTCATGCTAACAGGAAGACAGTGAACTTTCATGTTTTCCCTTCATCCAATGTGATTACCCTTCTTCAACTAATTCTGCTGTTCCAGTCCAGAGGCCTGCATTTGGCCGTAACAGCTTTTACTAATAAAATGATGTTTCTAATTAACATCTTGGCTGGTACACTAGCCTCATCTGCTTATCGACAGTGATCCCAGGGTCACCCACAGCCCATGACCGGAAAAGATTCGAGGCATCACCACCGATTTATCCCAGGCCCATGTGGAGCTTTGATGAGCAGATATACAACCAACCCCTGATCCTTTCCCGGGAGACTGCACAGCCAAGGACAGGACATTCGGCCAACTACTGATGCCCATTCCACCCACCCCACATCAGCACTTCCCCCAAACCCACCCGTCAGCACACTCCCCTTTTTAAGAAGGGAAACCCCGCCCTGCTTCCCCCCCACAAGCTATACCCCGGGGTAACAGACGCCATCAACCCTAAATAATATGAAGCGTTTTCTGCCCTGAAATAATCTAAATCTGGATTTAAGAATCTGCTCCCAGTCCAGCCCAAAGAGTGCCACAGAGAATTTCTGCATCATTTACATCGAGATTGGTCAGCAGCAAACAGGAATTATATTTCCACACAAGAGGCACCACCCCAAGCACGAAGTTTCATTAATATTCAGATCATTCACCAAAAACACACAGCAAGCCAAAGCTAAATTCAGTTTATTGTGTTGTCTACTGTAGACAGGTACAGATTTACAAATCAAGGAGTGAGATCTGTATTTCAGCGCCTGAACACACAAACTGCTTGCACTCACGTCCTATATACACCCCACCCACTTTCACCATCACCTTCCCTGTAACATCGTGGCCCCACAACGTCGAAATCAACGGGAAAGTTGGCAAGTGTAGCCCGCAGGAGTGCACACGCAGTATCTCCTTAACCCACATGATCCCCCCAGCTCCCCTTCCCCAGTTTTAAGCATCCCAAAAGCAGCTTTTTGCTGACCAGCCAACCCCTCCCGCCGTGGATTGTCCCTCCTTCCCGTGCAGCTTACCCATACCTCGTGCACCTCCAGGCCCTGATCCACAAAATCCAGCAACTGCGTGTCCCACCAAGGGGCCAGGGCCACGCGTCTTTTTCCGTGCTCCAAGCATGTGTGTTGTAAAACCACTGGATTTACACATCCTTGGTTCCACCGCGTTTTGATTTCTGTGGCTACGTTTTAGTTACACATAGTGCACTAACAGGACTCGGGCAACTAATTTGGGCACTCTTTAATATACTCACCCCTCTTCCACGGATTTTTCTGTTACTTCGCCCCAGCAGTTTCTGCAATATTATAGGAAAAATAGAGGGGTTTTTTTCCTGCTTCTTCCTCGTGTCCCACAATACAGGGATAGTGTTTTAAGTTTAGTACACAAGTTTATCTCTTGCGATCTTTTCCCGTCTGCCAAGATTCATGATGGCTTTTTTTTTCCCCCTTTAAGACTCAGGAATTTCTTTTCCCCATCCATCCAATATCGAACACAATCGTCGAAGCTAGAAGCCTGCGATCTGAACTGACATTACTACCGGATTGAGATTTTATTACTGTCCCATTTTTTTTAGAAACATCCTTGCAACTACACACAATATTACATTTTAAACGCAATTACCTTCAAAAACCATGTTTTACTCCAAATTTTCCGATTCTGGCACTGGAAATAATAAAAAAAAGGTGCTTTAATAATTTGCTCAGGTGCTTCTGTTTTTCTGTTTCTCCCTCCCAGCTCCGCATGTGTTCCCCGCCCCACCCCGCGTGTCAGTGTATTATGAACAGCTTCTAACCCATTTTTAACAAGTGTTTCCTGCATGGTTTGTCTCCTCTGTCACGGCCCAAGGGCTCAGAGAAGCAGTAGGAATATGCAGGCTGCAGGCTCGGGGCCCGGCTTGCTCTCCAACGTCGTGGAAAGGGACTGTACGTCACGGGCCCGAGGGCCTGCGCTCCCGTGCGCCACACGGACAGAGCCGAGAGAGAGCGACTTCTCCGGATATCCACGTCGGACCTTAACTTTTAACTTTTATAACCATCTTGCTCCCCCCAGGCCCCCGCAAGGATGGGTACTCACGCTGCAGCGGCCGCACAAACCAAGCTTGAGGAGTCTTTGAAACCTGTAGAAAAGAAAATGGCTGTGAGGGACGGCTGAGGTGGCGCCGCAGCACCCGCAGCCACGTGTAACTCACAGCGTAATTTAGCATTAAAACCAGGATGGAGCGGGCATCCGCTGCCAGCGCGGGCAGCACGACCTCACGCCACAGCAAGAAAAGGGATTTAAAGGGTAAAAAACAACAAAAAGGGTAAAATTAAGCAGAACCCTACCTACTGGCCGCACCGCTCCCCACGGTGAAAGAGGCCGAACAGCCCCGCGTGGCGCCTTTTATAGTGCGCGGGGGCGGGGCCGAAACCCGCGCAGGCGCATTCCGCGCGAGGGGCGGGACAAACCGTATATGGGCATATGGGGCCGGGCCACCACGCCGCGAAAGGGCCGGGCCAGCCGCGCCTGCGCAGTGGCCGGCAGGGCGGTTGGCGCATGCGCAGTCGGAATGGCGCGAAAAGCCTGAGCGGAAGCGCCGCCATGACGGACCCGCCCGCCTCCCCCTCAGGAGCCCCGGTCAGGCTCCTGCTGAGATCAGCTGAAAAGACACGGCCGCACAAGCAGGGTTTAAGAAAAAGAATTCTAAAATACTTTTATTTAATAATTAAAATCTGTTGTTGCGGAGACTGATATACAATGTAATGGCGGCTGTACAGGGGATGCTGTGAGGGAAGAGCCCCCAGCGGCTGCTGGGCCATAGCCGGCGTGTTGCCACACTGGTCGGTGAACAAGACAGAGTTCTTCTCTCCCGCCCGCCCTCCCACACAAGTGACATCTCACCGATAGTTTAGTTTTGTGCATAACACACCAGGGGCCCTACCGGATCTTTTTTTTTCAGCCCACATTGAGGAAGAATTTTTCTCTCAGAAGAGAAATACCATCTTTTTAAGGTCACTTTTTAAACCTATTCTTCCCCTCCTTTTGACCCACACAGTGAAACGATCAAATTTCCAGTAGGTTTAGCTGTAAAAAATGAGAAAAAGGCAAGCTTCAACCCTGATTTGGGAGAGTAAAAAACATTTGAGAGAAAGCCACAAAAAAAGGACTGACTACTCTCACAGTTTCCCCTAATTAAAAAGTTTTTAAAAGGCAACAGTCATTGTTCCTGGTTCTGTAATTTGTTAAACAAGCCTAAATATCTCCGGATCTGTTATTAAGATCAGAGCAAGTGTGAGAGTGCAGAGCATTTACACGGTTTTTTTTTTCTTTTTCTTTTTTTTTTAACAAAAAGATGCAGCATATGTTAATATCTATACAATTCCCTTCCAGGACAACAAACCGTTGGTCAGTAGTGATTCAGGGCATTAACGACTTGACAAAAAAGAAAAACTCACAAAAAATACCGAGTGCCATGTCAGCCGTCTGCCAGGGTTCTCTGTACACAGCTAATATACACATACATGCTTCTGAGCACATGCCTTCCTCAGCTTCCCAATCTTAGAGCTGCCTTTGCTTTTAATCTCCCTTCCTCACAGAAAGGAGGAGGAAATGAGGAATTGCTCTCCCCGAGACAAGTCTGTACAGCTTGGAAGGAAGGGGTCGTTCCCCTGGGCACCGTCTCCTGGCAGAGTCGTATTGCTGAGCCGCGTGAGGTATAGTGTCATTTCCAGCCTGATGGCATGAGAGATGTGTTTGCTCCAGTGAAATGCTACATTCAGACAGGATTCCCCTTCCCTGGCCAAAAGCCCTTTTCTGGATATGTTTGGAAGGCAAATCTTGGAAGAGCTGAGGTTCCACCCTCACTGTATTGCCTCAGAGGGGGGATGCAGAGAACTTTCAGCCCTCCCAGGTTTCTTGCTCCCTCCTTGGAATATTATGGTCGATGGTATCTGAAAGCAAGGAAAAAATCTGAGTGTTATCCTTGGAACTCAGGTTAAATGGTTACTTGAGCACTATAGATAGCCAAAGAGAATGAATTGAATTATCTCAGAACTCTCAGCCCTCAGGGAACCTGTGAACATCAAATAATTTCACCTCCTGTGCTCTGCACTCAACTTTGCCACACAGAGCTGGAAGGAAAGGAATCATTTAGGCCACGATCCAGACCTGACTACACAGATTACACCCAAGGTAACTCATTAGCAAGTTGTTTTGTGGCTGTGGCTGCACATCTCTAGCCCCAGAAAAGCTCACTCCATCTGCAGCTTCACACTAGTTTCAGATACACCTCAAACTAGACACTGGTCACTGAGCCGGCAGGATGGAAGCCCCAGTTTAAGGAAAAACAGCCCACTTTGTGTCTGCTGCTACTCCAGTCACCCCCCAGGACGGGGACACAAAAGGACATTCAATCTCCAACTGCTGCACAAATAATTTTTCTAAGGTTGTAGTGTTTTGTCACTGAGCACTGTCCTTGCAGCACAGCTCTGACAGGTCTAACAAGACCAAAACTCTTTATATTAATACATTCTCACCTCGTGAACTGCTTGCTCTCCTCATGCACTTCCATTTCACAGCTCTTAAACTCATTCAGCTCCTTCCTGATGGCTGCCTGCACAGAGAGGGAGATTTTTTTGAAAGGAAAGGGCTCAGATTCCAGCAGCCATCCCAGTTTTCACAGCCCATTAAGACCAAGCTGAATTTAATCTGCCCCTCCTCGATGAGTCTGGGCAGTCCCCAAGGACAGATGTTCCCTGCCAGCTTCTTGAGCCTGCAGGGAGCTGCACTCTATAACCAATACTCAGTATCCCTGCTGTGTCGAGAAAAAAGAATGGGGCTGGGGAAGGGTCCGAAGCACCAAGAGCAGCTGGGTGAGGTGGGGAGCTGAGCCTACAGAAAAGAAGGTGCAGGGAGGATCTTCTCACTCTCCACAAGTCCCTGACAGGAGGGTCAAGACAGCTGAGGGTTGGTCGCTTCTCCCAGGTAACAAGTGACAGAACAAAGGGAAACTGCCTCAGGTTGAGCCAGAGGAAGTTTAGATGAGATACAAGGAAAAATGTCTTCATAGAAAGGGCTGTAGTAGAATCACCATCCCAGGAACTGTTCAAAAATGTGCAGATGGGGCACCTGGGGACATGATTTTACTGCTGAACATGATGGTGCTGGGTAAACAGCTGGACTCCATCATCTTCAAAGGTTTTTCCAACCTTAATGATTCCATGATATTATGATTCTTACATCACTCAGAAGCTGAGGCAGAAGCCATACAGGCTTTCAGACTGTGCCCACCAGGGCTCCACCTTGCCATGAGGCAGCAGGAAGCAGACCTGGGGCAGCACATGCAAGTGAAGGCACACAGGTGGGGTGGCAGAGGGAAAGATGAGGAGGTGAAGCCAGAGGAACAGAGCAAATCTCCTTGGCTCACACCCGTTTGTGTGGGTCACCCTGGTCTGGCTCCTCTTCCCATCTGGGGACAGGACACTCAGTTACCTTGTCAGCTGGTGTCAGCTTTGTCCACGGCTTATCTGCTCGCCGGTCATAGTCTTGGGCATCTGTTACTTCCACATATTCATTAAACCTCAGGATCTTCCTGGCCTGCAGCTCTGCCACTGTAGGCCTTTGGCTAAGCTGAACACCAGGAAAAACAAAGGAGGTTAGTCTGAGCCTTGTCCACAAAGCAGATCCAGGACTAAGCACCCCAGGCAAAACTAAAACTAGTTCCCTCACTGTGCCTTAAGCACGGACACTACCAGATCCTGCGTGCAGCCTGCAAGGGAATAGGTAAACTTCTTACAGACTGGATACTCTCACTGGGATCACAAAACCAGGCTAGGGCAGAACCTGGGCCACACTGTCATGAAGAAAGACACTGAGGGGTGTGGGATCAGCTGCTACAAGGGTGAGCCCTGCATGACGCCCCTAAACACAGCTTCAGCAATGGCAGCACTCACACTTCACACCCACAGGCCTCAGGGAAGCTCTTCCCAGCCATGAGCAACAATCACAAGTAACCTGGATGTAACAGCTAAAAGCAGCTGTTACTCTGCTGAGCTCCCACAGTGCTGTTCCTTTAGAAATGGATTTTAGGGAGCCTGGTGGCAAGTGGTGGCTGCTGAAACACTGTGTTAAAGCAGCCAGGCCAGAAAACCTTAAAAGTATCAGGTGCCAAATTCAGTTCTCATCTCGCTTGTTACACTTGCGGCCAGGTCAGATCTGTCACTGACAAAAACGGCCCTGGTGCCAAGGGTTCACGGTGGGTGACAGTCCACATTCCAAAGTCACTGCAGTGCGAGGGCACTGGGGACACTTACACAAGAGCCCTGTGACTTCGCCCACAGCACGGTACCTACAACGTGCTCGCTGCCACCATGCCCAGCAGCCCTGCCAGGTGGCCGTCACCGTGGGAGCCAGCAGTACCTTTCTGGTCAGCCGGCGCTTGATCTCGCGCTTCTCAGCTTGACGGTCAGCTTCATTTTTCGCTGCCAAGGGGAAAAAAAAAAACATTTTTCATGTAAGCATCAGGCTTTGAAAAGTGCTTTCTAGACTTGAACAAAGGACAGTGTTGAGCTGGACCAGATTATCTACAGATCTGAAGGCTTAGGACAGGCAGAGAGTGCAGTACCACTCAATACCCTGTGTCATCTCCTGAACTGGCCGGGGCAAATGAGCCCCTTGCCCAGCACCAATGAGTCATTCACCTCAACGATTAATGTCCATATCACCAAAATACATCCAAGCCACTGTGCAGCTTGCTCCTTCATAAAGCCATTATAGTTTAAAAGAAAATAACAGCACAGATAAATATTTTAAGTGGAAATTTCCTGAACTGACAATCCCATTTCCTTGACATGTTTATTTAAAACTCTTGCAGAACAAGATATGGCCAAGAGAAACAGTCCTGACTTTGTGATGCACTGCTGCTTTAGAGATCATGCAGGCCAGTGCTGTAATGTCTGGAACACAGAAGTCCAACCCAAACAAAAACACCTTTCACAGTCCTTGCTGTGTAACAGCAGAGTCTGAACCAGCCCACACACTCTCCTCTGAGCTGGCAGGCATGGGACAGCTATTCTGTCCATAATCATATGATCCCAGAATGGGTTTGGTTGGAAGGTATCTCAGTGATTGCCCAATTCCACTCCCTGCCATGGGCAGGGACATCTTCCACTGTCCCAGGTTGCTCCAAGCCCTGTCCAGCCTGGCCTTGGACACTTCCAGAGATGAGGCAGCCACAGCTTGTCTGGGCAACCTGTGCCAAGGGCCTCACCACCCTCACAGGGAAGAATTTGTTCCTAACATCTAATCTAAATATCTTTCAATTTAAAACCATCCCCACCTGATACATTAAGATGTTAAAGGCAAACTTATGGTATTTCTAGGACCAGCAGAGAAGTGCTACTCACGCTGAAGAATGTTCCTCTGTTCCAGTTCTTCTGCAGTTGGTCTCTGACTCAATCGCCTGAAGAGAAGTGTGACAAGTACAGACTGTTGTATCTGGTCACTCATCAGTAGCAGATGAAGGATAAAACTGCCTGGTTTCAGCGCACTAGACAGCCTCCTCCACACTCCTCACTCACCACTGAGGATCACTGCTGCTCTGTTTTACACTATGCTCTTGTCAAACAGCTGCTTGGCCACTGGCACAGCTTTGGAAAGGGCTATGGGCTCTCCAGCTCAGAAGCAGCTTGGCAAGGAGCTCAGACAGCAGAGCCTGGACTGCCACCAGTCCCAGCTTCATCCACCACCAGCACCCACCCTGCATCCATCCACACCTTTTTATCCACACCTGTGTTTTACATGTCTGTAATCCTTGAGATTTTCCCCTCTCTGTTCATTTAACCTCTGGAAACAGGGGTCTGTCAGGGGGTGTTTTTCAACTCCAGGAGGAACTCACAACTTTTCTAACAAAGGAAGAACAGTAACACAACCTCCCAGCCCTGCTCCAGCTGCCTAACCACCCATCCTATTCCAGCACAAGCTGCTTGGACAAGGCACCAACTTTGTGCAATCCCACTCGGCACACACTGTGCCAGCAGCTCACACTGATCTTCATCACTCTCTGTACCTGATCAGCGTTGTCCCAATCTGGTGACGGATTTCGTTCCACTCCTCCTTGCTCTTCCGAGGGAACATGATCTTCTCCTCCTGTGGTGCAGTTGTGTTCCCCAGCTTTATAGCGAGCGTGTCTTTCCTCTTCACTTTGTTGGCCAGTGTGCCTGTGGAGAGGGAGAGCAACAGGATGCAACTCAAGGCTACCGAGCCTGCCACAGCAATCCTAGCCCTGTGCCCCTGGGAGCTGTGCTCTTCCTGAGGGAGAGCTGTCCTCTCTCCTTGCTCTTCCCAAGCTCTGCACTCACTGCACAGCAGCCAGCACTTTTCGTGCGACACCACATGCTCACCTAATGCTGTCCTACCTGAGGGGCTGGGACAGCACAGGCTGTCACAGGAGCCATCTGCAACTGAAGGGGTGCACTCAGCAGGTGACTGCACAGGTTTGGCTGCAGAGCCTTGGAAAAAGCAAGGCAAGAGGACATGTGCTACATCATGCAACCAAGAGTCAGCTGCTTTGAGGTGCTGTGGGAACCAATACTTTGGTCCAGATCTCAGTGCAGCCAGGCACGAGTTCAGCAGAGCAATAAAAATGACACCTGCAATGTCAAAACCTTACTGTTATGGCTTTCATCTTCTTCCTCATCCTCATCATCTTTATACAGGATGGGGCCCTCTGAGTCAGAGTCGCTCATCCCTTCGTCTCCTTCCTGCTCCTCCGGGAGGACCTGGGGTACCAGTTTGGGGATGACTGTGACAGATGGCACATCTCCAATATACACATGACGACCTGAATTCTGTTCCTCTTCCTGGTCATCATCTTCCTCTTCCTCATCGTCTGGACTAACGAGAAGCAGGCTATTACACCTCTGAACACTTTGCACAGGGCCTGCAGAATTTCCCTAGAATCACCACGTCCTTAGCCCTCCTCAGGGAAGCCCAGAAACCAGAGGTGCAAGAGCCGCCGCAGGATCCTGCGCTGCCACCTCTCTTCAAAGCACAGGGAGCTCTGGCCAAGGAAGTGACAGAGGCAGGTTCTGCAGAGCCAAACCGCCCTCTGACCCCACTACTTTGTGACTTGGAGATTCAGCTCTGCTATAACAAAAGACAGTCCTTTTCCCACTTATTTTAGCAAAATGAAAGGCTAATGAAGGCCACAGATGGATGGAATCCAGGACCTTGTTTGGTCTTGGTGCAGTTACAGGCAGTCCAGGCCTGGATTCCTGGCATCAGCCTGTGTTTGTAGTCTGGAACCCACTTCCCTTTGCGAGCAATAAAAATCCCAAAGCCAGGGGTAATTTCATGGGGAAGACACTCTGGCTCTTAAGAGCCTGAAACACAGATTTGGCCAACAGGGAAAATGGGTTCAGCAGAGACCTAAGCCCTGCCCAGAGCCATCCCCACCATCACAGCGCTGCAGGAGCTGGGAGAGGCCACACACATACAAGGAGGTACTCACACTTTGAGCATCTCAATGGTGACAGGCAGGGATCTTGTCCTGCCCAGGGTGCTGTTGTCTTCTCCAAAACTATCGTTCTCAAAGAGCAACGAGTGAGCCCTGTGGGACCCTTCGGGAGGTGGGGTGACAGGCAGAGGGCTGGCCAGAGCCTGCTGGATACGAATGTGCAGTGGGATTTGGGGCAGGCGAGGCAGCGCGTGGGGTTCACCAAACCCTTGTTCTGCCGTCCTCTTCGACACTTCCATGGGCCTGAAGTCTTCAGGAAGAGGGGGAGGAGGAGGAGTCTCCTTGGGCAGGTCCAGGGAGCACGGTGGGTCCAGGACAGGCGTGGAGGTGGGCAGGGCCACGCGTGGAGGTTCAGGGGGTACGTGGGTGGGCAGCGGCGGCGAGGGTGGAGGTGGTGGATAAGCTGAGGTCACGTGCAGTGGAATCGGAGCAGGGCGACTCGTTGTCACTGTCCTGTCATTCGGGGGCTTAGAGGTGACAGCCTCGGACGTGTTGTTAGGCAGGAGGCCTCTCTTTGGAGGGAGAGGAGGGGAAGGCTTGGACAAGGCTGTACCACTGGTCATTACTTGGGAAAGTTCAGCTGAAAATAAAAACCACAAAAGCCACAATGTTTAACGGGGTATTTTCCAGATAAAACCTTCACCGGTGTGGAAAAAGCACGGCAATGCACTCAGAGCCTTGGACTAAGCATTCTCTGCTACTTTTTACTGGAGTATCATACTAGAAATAGCCAGGTTTCAAGGCTTTAGTTTGTCCTTCCAGCAGCAAGACTCGGGAGAGCAGCCAAAACCAAGCAGGCTGAGACAGGTTTGTGCATCCTGCTGCTTCAGAGAGAGAGAAAATGGCACCAGCCCTTGAAAGACAGCACAGGAGCCTGCCCAGGAATGCAGTTATGTGTGCACTTTATGGCTGTATTTACAGCATAAAAGGAATCCAAGACATCCAGGACACCCCAGTCGTGTTAGCGGCTCCCCTGCACATTAAAGAACTTCTTGGGAAGACTCAAAAAGTCTTAAAGTCTTATCATTTGCTCAGAGGCAAAAATCAGCTCAGCTGCAGGCATCAGTGTGCTTTCCCTCTTGTGTTCATCCATCAGACCCAGCCCAAAAACACCCCACTGCCAGCAGCTCCTCAGGAGGAGGTTCTCCTTTACTCCCTCTGAACTCTGTTCCTCAAGCCCCATATAAACTCATCTGCCACTACAAAGTAACTAGAAAAACTCTGAAAAAATACCTAAAGCCTTTAGTCTTAAATATTTGCTGTTTGATGGAGAAGAGAGGAAGAAGTAGAGACATGAAAAATGCCTGCAGTGGGCAGTCACAGGATCCTCAAACCCCCACGCTGTTCCTAGGGAAACTGCAGCAGTAAAGACTGTTGCTTTAGGAGTTTGCAGGTTTTAACACCCATGGCTTCTGGGGCTTGTAGAGGCTTTGCCTAAAGCAGCTGAGACTTGCTACACATTTCCCTGGAGCAGGGAACAGTGACAGAACAGAGCTGGGGGAATCTGCGGTGCAGACACCATGAGAGGGTGCTGCAAGTGGGAGAGTTTCCCAAGATAAGGCCACATAACTGGAGAGAGGTGGGCACATTTGTGAGATGTTTAGCATTTTTAGACTTTCCCTTTGTAGATTAAGGACCAGATTGTGTAAAACACAGAGTGTCCTCAGCTCCTGCCCAAGGGACTCCAGTGTCTCCTGAGCAGAGCTTCAAGCCTGGCAGGACAAGGCTTGAGGCACCTCTGGGTAGTAGCAAAATTTGAAAGGGAGCGAGGAGGTGGCAGAAGGAAGTTGCTGCTTGAGACAACAGAACTGCTCAGGTAATGAGCATCCTGGGGACAGACAAAGGGGTGACCTGCACAGTAACTCCCCCCCAAGCCTCAGGCTGTAACAGTGGCACAGAAGGACACCCCTGCACTCAGAGCAGGCACCAAAGACCCATGGAGAGCTCACAAAGCCAATTCCACTCAGGCTGTTCAACAACAGTGACAACACTAGGCTCACACAGCAACACCACAGCTCCAGCTCCATTGTACCAGACTAGAGGGCTGTGGAGCCTCCTCTACATCTTCGTTCATACCCAGGGGACAAAAGAGAACTGCTGGTTTTCCTCCTCCCCTGCACATCCCTCAGCTGCTCCCAGCCCAGCCCACGCTGTTGGGAAGAGGCAGGATGGCTCTAAACACATGGGATACACTGCTGTTTTCAGCCACATTTTTTCTTCCACAAGTACCTCCTCTAATTAGAGCTAGGGCATAATTCAAATGCCACCTGCAGTGTGTGCAAGCAGCTTAAAGAAAACAAGAAGGTATTTCATGGAGTGCCCAAGCATGGTCAGGCTAATCAAGCTGGTCTGGCACATGAGGGTTGTTAATACCATACCAAGGTCACTTGCAAAACCTGCCAGAGCGAGGTGAGCCCCAAGCAGAGCACAGCAATCTGTCCACACTGAAAGCAGTGGCGTCGGCTATTTCAGATGGCAACTTGCACATCCAGCACTGCCTCTCAAACCACACCTTGGTAATGCCTCCAGTTTCTGTGGTAACAGCGCAAACCTGTCAGATTGATCTTCCCAGGAGCCTCCCTCCTGATCTGGGTAACCTCTGCTAACCCTGCCCAAAGATTAGGAGGTGTCTGTGAAAGAAATGCCTGAAGTGCCAACAGGCCATTGCTGCATGGAAGTCATACCAACTCTCAAAATTGCATCTTTAAGATCCCCAGAACTCCCACAGAGAACAGAGATTAAATGAGCTTTAAGAAACTCTTGACAAATCTTCTGCTTAGAAAAATTACAAAGATAAGAATATTTAATTTCCTAAATGGGAAGATTCAGTTCAAATTACAGTTGAGATGATTTATCCATGTGACAAGATATAGGGACAAGACTCATATGTCAATAGCCCAGCAACAGACCTTAGAGGAAGAGCCCGAGTATAACCAGGGAAGTCTGAATTATCCCTACCAGCTCCTGGTCTCTGCCCTAAGTGGAAACCACATAGCCTGGCAGTGACAGCCACACCAGACATTGCTTGGGGTGTGGATTCTTTGGGTTTGTTTTTTGTTTGTTTTTTTTTTTTTTTGTTTTGGTTTTGTTTTTTTTCCTCTAAAAGCAGATGAAAGAAGGAATTGTCACTAACCACAAAACCTCATCCACCATTCCCCAATCCCAGCTGAATCCCAGCCCCCAGTGAAGCATCAACATTGAGACACTGTCTCAGAGCCGACAGAGAACAGGCAGGCAGGGAGTCCTTCCTGCAGGGAGCTGTTGGGAACACACTGGATAGCTCATGGCAGAAGACTCCAGTAATTAATTACACTGTTCCCAGAGCGCATGTGTCCTGGCTAAACACTGGCAGATTTGAGTCCCAACTGGACTGTTTTTAGGAAAGATGGTCAGACATTCTGATGCAACTAAAAATCTTCCCTTACGAAGGGAAGAGACTCTTGGAGCAGTGGCTCCAGAATATCTCAAGGTACAAAAACCAGTTTGTGGGGTCACTTACCTATTAGTGAGTTGCTATTTCTGTTGATGGGTTTGGGAGGAGGGACGGGAGGCTGTTTGGCAGGAGCTGTGCTGGTTGTACTGGTGGGAGCAGTAGTGTTGGCACTGGCAGGAGCAGGAAGCAGAGTCCTGGGGGCTGGGGAAGGGGCAGCTGTGGAATTGATTGTCTTTGCTGCCATGGGGGCTGTGCTGAAGGGGGCAGTTCTTGCAGTGCTGCTGGCAGGTATGGGATCCTTTGCCTGTACTTCGTTTGCCTCCTGGGAAGTGGAGGGAGGTCTTTTTGGAGGAAGCAGAGGTTGTCTGGGAACATGTGGCTCCTGAGGTGGGTCCAGTTCAGGCGCAGGGTGGCTGCTGGAGGAACCTGCAAAGGGAGGCAGCTCAGTTTAAGGCACTGGAGGATCTACTGAGGGTAGGAAGGATCAGATGAGAATTCAAAACTCATTACAGAAGAATGTGCAGCCCTGATTTTGCACACATCGGGTTTCTTACCCTGCCTCTTCTTTGGTTCCTCCACTGGAACAGGCTTCCTAAGGCTGGATGGCTTTGTGGCCTCTTCCTCCTGGCTGGGCAGCTTACACACCCCAGGGCCCCCAATGGGGACAGTGTGGCCATTCTTCAGTGCAGCTGGGTTCAGCTTCTCTGGCTCTTCACCATCTGCAAGGGGACAGGTGGACAGGGAAGCAAAGAGAAAACACTCAGAAGGCAGGGGAGAGGAGAGGTGGCTGAGCTGACTCAACCACCATGGAGCCACATCAACTTCTTTCTGGCTTCTGAAACAGCTGGTCTTCAGCCACCTTCTGCACAGGACAGCACAGCAACCCAGCCAGCTGGAGCTGAGAGCCCCTGATTTCATTATCAATGAATAAATCACGCAGCACTGTGTGCTAGCAAGGGTTTTTCTTCTTCCTGTCCTTCCCTTGCTCTTGTGTTACAATTAGTGTGCCCAGTGCTGTGCTGCAGCACAAGGAAGTTGTAAGTGAAGTCAGATCTCCAGCAGCTTTTGTACCCACCCTCTATCACGGAGCAGACACCAATTCCCTGCTGCAATGCAGATTCCAACGTGAGCTGAGTCATCTACTGCACGTGCAGTAATAGACTTTCATAAAGTCTTCAGATTAGTGGAAGCACCTTTGTTTTCCTTGTTTCTACCCTGAATTTGGCACAAAAATCACTGCTCAACTCAAAACATCAGCAAGGCAGACTTCCAGATTTACCTTTGTTTTAATCAGATGTAATGACACAGCTCTAGAATTTCATGTAGCTCACTTTGACTATTTCTGCTTTTACAAATCCTAACATGGAGGTTCCCAGTGTTAAAAGCAAGACCTCTTTTTGGAGGTCCCCATCCAATCCAACCCATGCTACTGAGGGTCCTGAAACTCCTAATCCCCATGAGGAAATACTCCACCATTCTTGGTAATGCCCTGACAGGACAAGTTTTTGACAGTATGACTCTCAAAAAAAGACTCAGCATCCATCTCTAAGGGGAAATTGCCCATTTGGACTGATTTTCAACTCAAGAAAACCTAAATAAATACATCACCCATTTGATTAAAAATATTTTTCAATTCAGTCTGCCATCTCTGAAGGAATTGGAGTGTGTGGCATCCATGCTCTCCAGTTGCTAGACCCCAGCAAAATCTGCTGTTCTATTTTTTGATCATTTATTCCACTGCCCTCCTCACCTTTCCTCTCCCTCCAAAGTACTACCTCCCCTTCCCTAACCTGGTGTTATTCAGAAGCTTCCCAGGATTTCTTTTGCACAAGAAACAGCCTCGGTTCCTGTGAGGAGCTGGTAAGACAGAACTGCCTTGCTCACTCACTGCCCTTTCCTGAAATGCAGCAGGCACAAAGAGCAACAAGAGGGAGTTTCCTCCCTAGCCAGGGCTGAAACTCAAGGGATGAGACAGATTCTTATGGCAGCAACTGCCTCTGGTTATCCAATGTTTTTAGCAAGGGAGACAGGAACAGTATGATCCAGCTTTCCTCACCACTTTTCCACATCACACAAATCCCAGCCAGGTGAGTGGATGGTGATCTGACAACTTATTTTGGCAGCACGATCCCAACTTGGAGACATCAAAGATGAAAGAAAAGGGAGTAAGACTTCCTAGACAGCAGCACAAACTCTAATAAGCCTAGTGGTGACTATGACACCCTACCATGAAGCATCTCTTGGAAGATATGCCCCTACCCGAGCAGCTCAGAATTCACCCATTCCTGATTCTTCTCCCCGCCTGAGCCCCACGGGCAGTACCTCTCCCGTTTGGAACAGCAGGAGATGGTGAGTGACAGTGTGACAGCAGAGGCTGGCAGGACAGCACAAGGTATCTGGAGCAGAACACAGAGAAGGACGGGATGGGAAGTGACCACAGCACAGCCCTCCCTCCCTGCAGGTAGGTGTTCCAGACAGGCATTGCACCTCCTCAGCACCATCTTCCTCCCTGAGCAGGCTGCCTTCCTCCCAGGTGGGAAAACAGACAAGAGAGAGCACTGGAAAGGGTAAGGCAGACAGGAATCACTTCAGCAGGAAGCCCTTACATTTGTCTCCCAAGGGTGAGGTTTGGCCAGAGAAGATCAGCCACACAGACACAGACAGAAGTTCTTTTGCAGACTCACCCTGCTCAGGCTCTTCCAACAGAACCCCTCTTTTTACCAGCTCCTCTCTTGGTTTTCGCATAGAAATCTTTCGTTCTAAAACTGATATTAAATTGAAAAAAAGCACTCAGAAAACAGGGCAAGGTTGAAGTTCAAGAAGTTGTTTTTTTTTTTTTTCCTTTTAAAGATGTTCTCTAGAGGAAATAAAAGGGTTTCAAATTTTACTGGTTTTGCATGAATTAAGAGGAGAGAGAAGGAACTGCATGTTCAGACCTGCATTTCACACTGCACTGCTGATTGTGGAATAAACGCTCCCTCCCCACAGCTGCTTGAGGAGCTTCCTTGAAAGAAAGGAATTAATCTGTCTGAAACTACAGCCCCATGGCAAGGTGTTTCTGGAGAGATTGCAGGTGCCAGCCCATCACCGAAGTCCCATTTTGGTTCTTGCACATGTCAGCACTCAGGTTTGTGACAGCAACCCCTTCTCAGATGGATGGAGGAAGGGACACCCACCCAGCCCCTGTTACTTTACCTTCTGAAGTCTCCTTGAATTTGTCACTGCTTTTCTTTTTCCTCCACTTCCAGGGTTTGAAAATCTTGCCAAAGCTTGAGAACTTGCTTTTCCTCTTTGTAGGGGGTGTGGTGTCACCTGATTCCAAAACATCTACCCCCATGCTGGCATCACCTGGGGCGTGATCCACCTCTTCAGCTGCACAGAAAAGAAGGAAAAGAATAAAGAATTACTTCTGTGCTGCAGGTAACTGCTCCCACCTCCCACCAACCCACCCCACACTGGGAATGGTGGCACACGTTCCTGCAGAAAAGGGAGCAAGACTCTGTCTGTGGCTCCACTGAGCCCTCACATCAGCTCAGGGGGACACAAGTGGACGTCTCAACATAAACAGGACAAAGGGAAACTGCTAAGGGCCTTTCTGATGAGACAAAGATTACAGAACCCCAGAATCATTAAGGTTGGAAAAGACCTCCAAGATTGTTGAATCCGATCTGTGAACAACCCCCACCTTGTCATCAGCCCAGAGCACTGAGTGCCATATCCATTTGCTCCTTGGACACCTTCAGGCATGGGGACTCCACCACTGCCCTGGACAGACTGTGCCAGGGACTGACAACTCTTTAAATTAATAAATTCCTCCTGATGTCCAGCCTGAACCTTCCCTGGCACAACCTGATGCTGTTTCCTCCTGCTCTGTTCCTTGTTCTCCAGGGGCAGAGCCTGACTCCTTGTCTGCACCTGCCTGTCAGGGAGTTGGAGAGAGTGAGAAGGTCCCCCCTGAGCCTCCTTTTCTCCAGGCTGAGTCCCCCCAGTTCCCTCAGACAGATATTAATTTAATGTGCAGTGTCACAGCTTTGCCCATCAACACAAACCACTTCCCTACATTTTCTCATCTTCATTTGGAAGCAACTGGTGCTGGACACAAGTTCATGACCACAAACACCTTCCAGCCCACTGAGCTGACAGTCACAACTGTCTGCACCCCGAAATCACCAGACCCATTCCAGCAGCTGGATATGCTAGATTTTTCCCTCTCTGATTTTCCTTCTATAAATAAGGGCAGCAAAGCTGGCCAAGAGCAACAACTCCACAGGAAAGCGACACAATACAGGCCTGTGCTCCACCTACTGCACAGGAGTCTCTGGAGAACAGCACAAGAAGGACACGGAGGCGGGGAGGGACACGTGAAAAAAACAAACAAAAAAAACCCACCCCCAACTCAAAAAAAACCCCACTTTTGAAGCAGAACCAGGGCACAAAACACTAAACTGGGGACTGTTGATCCTGCCTTGCATGATGTTGCTGTTTTGGGGTATTTGATGGAACACAGAGAAGCACTTACAATGAGCAGAATCTAGCACTGCCTGCAGAAAAACAAGTCAATGTGTACAAACTAAGTGAAGCCAGCTGGTGCCCACTCCGTGGCAGGATTTCCAGAGCCAGAATCCCTCAGCTTCAGCACTAGAGACAGGAGCATTGCAGAGCTCCTATGGAGAAGAGAGACATGCCCAGCAGGCTGGAGTGTCCTGATGCAAACTGCACTCAGGTGTCTTCTTTTGGAGCCTCCAAGTCAGATATTGTGGAGCTTGGGAGCACAACAGTCCTTTCAGTCAACTTCAGACAAGCCTGTGTAACGTGCCTGCAGAACAGGCAATGCCCCACAAGTAACAGGAAAGTTCAGCCAAGAATCCTATCTCCTGAGACTCAGAGATTGGGAAAAAAAAATTTAGGAGAAAGCAGCTTCACACATAGGACAAAGAGCTAATAATGTATCTTCTGTATCCAACAAACCCCCACGGAGGATACACATCCTGATGTGAAAAAGCAGATTCCTGTCAGCATAGGGAAGAACATGTTCAGGACAGAGAGGGGGGAAAACAAAAAAACACGAAAAAGGAATTCATTATTTGATGCAGCTCTACCTGCAACCCTGTAGTGCTTCCCAGCAGGAGAGCTCAGATCCCAGGAAGTGTGAAAGGCAGCCACAGCCATGGGCTCCTGAGTGCCACAGGGCTGGGGACAGGCTATCACTGTGTCACTGCAGGACAGACCCCACTTTTCCAGTCTGAGCACAAACGGAATGGAAGATCACAAACACAGGGAAGAGAAGAACAAGAGAGGGAAACTGGAGAGTGTTTGAGCCACTGTTTACCTGTTGGTTGTACTTTTGTTTAAATCAGCCCCATAACAGAAAGTCCCTCACTCTGAACCAGTCAAAAGTTGACGTCAGCCAATATTTGCTTGAGAAAGCAAGATCAATTCAGCATCTGAGATACTTTTAAAAGGAAAAAAAACCCAACAACCCTGACTTCATAACAGGAGAGAAATTGGGTGGAAAATAACATACACTGTGGCAACACTGATGTGTGATTTTCTACAGGGATGGAGGGTGGATGGAAGTGGGGGGGCAGAAAGGCATTTCCAGCTCCCAGAAACCCAAGAGGAATTGTCTGCATGTTTAGAGGCACTTTCTTCAGAGAGCAGAGCATTAACCCTGGAGTTGTACATGCAATTTTAACAAGCAGTATTCACTATGCTCATCAGAGCATTCCCAAACTTCACCAGGCAGGCACGAGCGCTTGCCAAGCACAGGCTGCAGATGGAGTTTGAAGCCCAAGTGTCACCAAAGGCACTTCCCTCACCTTTCCAAGGAGAACAGTGCTGAAGGCAGCAGCACCAAGCTTGCCTTATGTCTACCCCTTCCCTGAGCTGCTCTGAGGAATGTCACTTATGTGCTGCCTACCACCCAAGATGTCAGAGTGCTGCACTAAGCAAAGTAAGTTATTAAAAGAAAACTCAACCATCAGCTCCAGGAATTAATGAAGAGCCCTCAGCACCCTGGAATGTCTCCATTTCCAGTTAGAAGGAGAATGACAAGCATTCCTTGCCACAGTCCCCTCCGAACAACCAGGGAGGACATGAAAGGACCGGCCAAAAGGAGACACATGGTACCTCCAAAGGAGGAGCAGCTAAGAGCAGATAGGGTGGGGAGAACCCACATGTGAATACGCCTGCCAGAACTTCTTCCAGCAGCTCCTGTAGCCCAGGCCCGGCTGTCAAAGCAAATACCTTCCCAGGGTGGAGCTTCACTGCCAGAGCTGCAACCACGCAGGTGAACACAGGAGGTTTCACAAGACTTTCACATCAAGAGCAAATCACCTGGTCCTGCTTCTCTGCCTCACTACTCAGCCATGTCCCAATGCTCAGGCTCCTGCTGAGAGGCAGGTGTTGTCCAACACGGAAACACTTGGTTTTGTTAGCTTGTCATCAGTTCCATGCCCAAAAGCAGCCAGGCAAGAGGGGGAGACATACACACTAGAACACAGAACTGTCCAAATCATTTCCACCACCCTTTTGCTCTGTGTAGAATAAAACCTGACATGTTACTAAACACTCTGAGACCATTCCAGCCCACTGCTCACACTGAAGCCAGGGAAGCAACTCCTTCCCTGATCCTCACTGGGATTCATTCTGTCCTGTTGTGCAGATGACAGGAGAGCCTGTCCAGTCCTTCCACAGCACTCTTCCTTTTCCCTTCTCCAATTACCACAGGGATGTAGACATTTAAAGCAGTCTGTGTGAAGTAATTATGACACTGAGGACTAATGAGAGGTGGATCAGCAGCTGGAGGTGAGATTTACAGATCTGCATTCAAACAACCTTATTGTTCAGTGATTGTTCACATTAGATAGTGCTCACACTCCCACCAAAATGGACCTTCCCTTCCACTCACAGCCCACTTCCAGCTCCAATCTCCATGAAATGGTGCAGAGAGGACATCTCTTCCCTGTGAAGGCAGAGAATCCACCTTGCTGAGGCTGTGCCTCCTCCTGCTCTGCTCTACAAGGTACAGGAGGGTCCTTAAGCTGCTTTGCAATGCAAGGGGGAAACCCTTCCTTATCCGAGTCATGCACTGGAAAACCGGGAAAGAACCTCAGCATCGTGCCAGGGGAGCGAAAAAGGGCAAAAAAAGAGCACCCGGACTTGGAGGGAAGGGTGGCAAGCATCAGGAATCTGACACCTTCACCTGACCTTGGCCCAACAGCAAGGCTTCGTCCAGGAGACCAGCCTCATCCTCACCATGGTGCCAGGCTGGAAAACCCATTTTAAATACCAGGAAAAGCTTAAATGAGGTCACACAGCCCAGGGCGAAGCCAGCAGAGTCCTCATGAGCAGGTCAAAGGATTCTCAGCTGGCAGGTCCCTGAAGTGCCAGGTCCCTGGCACATCAAATCAGGACCTTGTTCAACCCTTCTGGAAGGGGAGCAGTCCACATTTTGGAAAAGCGACCCTGGAGCTGGGAGAGCCCCACAGAACCCACCCTGACAGCTGGATACTGCGCTAAATGCTCCTGGCTGAGCAAAAATCAGGAATAAAATATCTGCTGCAACTTCAGCATGCTGCCTGACGCTCCCAGAGGAGATGGCCTGGAACACTTGGAGCTCAGAATCCAGCTGGTCCAGGGACAGCGTGATGCCCCAGCTGCTTCCCAGCCAGAGCCTCCTGCCTTTTCAGATATGCTCTCCCAAACACTTAAGCTGTTCTGATCCCATTCTATCCAAACAAGCAGGTGAATTTGAGCTGTTTAAAAGAGCAGATTTATGTTAACCCAAAATGTTTAGACTGAAATAATCTAGGGAAACGTCACAAAACTGGCACAGCCCGAGCACACAAGGCGGCAGGAAGCTCCAGCAATGCCAAGCAAGTTGGGATGCAATTCCCTATTGGTTTGCCTGGCCACCTGGTCCTTCCAACCCTCCCCTGCAGACATGTTTTTGCTCAAGTCTTGCAGTTAAATTTCATGCAGAAAAAAGCTCCTTTTCCACTGCATCTTGTCGTGTTGAGTGACCCCAGTAATTTTTTTTTTTTTCCAAAACAGAGAAACCATTTCAGTGGAAGGAGCTAGAGACCCACACTTGGTCTCTCCCACCCTCAGCAAGTGGCTGTGGTGATGTGTCCTCTGCTCCAGAACGTCCTGTCAGGCTTGGGGCTGCCATTCCCATTAAACAGGGTGAAGCTTTCACTTCCACCACTGCTCTCGGTGGGTCAAACTGGCACAGCCAGGATCCATGGGGTCAATTAAAAGCCCCACACATAGTCACACCCTGGCCACACACAGAGGACACCCCAGCAGGCAAATCCCAGCAGGCCCTTAGGAACCCCACCTATAAATGTCATGGTTTAATGGTCACACCA